TCGAACCCGGGTCTCCCAGATACGCGCCGGGCACTCTTACCGACTAAGCTACCGGGAACCACAGAAATTCACTCTCAAATTCACCCCATACACCGCCTAACCTCCTTTAGGCATTAAAGAATTCTAAGAGAATTAGAATTTAGAGAGAAACGCTCGGGAACGCGCGGGCTCGAGAGCATAAACGAACACGTGGTAACTAAAACGACGGACGCGGCACATAGAATCTACGGAGGCGCGACCTTGAAGCGAAAACCGCATGAGAATGTCTCCAACGAGGGCGGTGAACACGCGAAGAGGGAAAAAAAAATCAATAAATTATAACAGGCCGATCGGCACTCAAAAATCCTAATTACTCCGTACTTTCAGGGATATTTCATCCCGAGGCGGTGAACGCAACATTGAAAACGATCGGAGCGAAATGAAAACAGAACTATGTCCCGAGAAAATCGAAGGAACGCAAGAAATCCCGAAAAGTTCTTAAATAAATGAAACATCGAATTCACTAAGCCATAACGACTGGCAAGACCGAGAGGTAAAGCTCGAGGTGTTCTAGGAGGCGTCTAGCGCAGAAGTGCCTTTGAAGTCGGATATTGCACGGCTTTTACTCCAAAATCCTAACGCAAAACTCCCGAAATATTCCCTCACTTAAATGACATAGCTATCCTTACGGGTGCGAGAGAGAAGCATGAAATCCACCATCGAAAGANTCCCAAAATCTTAACGCAAAACTCCCGAAATATTCCCTCACTTAAATGACATAGCTATCCTTACGGGTGCGAGAGAGAAGCATGAAATCCACCATCGAAAGAGAGAGACAGAGGCGAAATCTCTCGCGGCGTCAAAACTCGCAAAACCTGCCAGGCGATTAATGCAATTATTGGGCGTTCTTTAAGCTCTACCGCACAGAGCAAGACCTCAAAATCAATAATTTATTATCCTAAAACCCTGAGATGAGAAAACTACAAAAATGATTCCCAACAACCCAAAAAAATATTCGTGAAACTCAGCAACGGAACGATGCCCTACTCCCCGCTTGTCTGCTCCCCGGCGAAGCCTCCACATATAAATCTCCGGGCCGTCAAAAGTCTTGTTCCACTCCGGTACGTTCCCGATTAATTACAATTCCTCTGCTTCCACACACACAAAAAAAACTCCTAATAATCGTCTCAGCGGCGAGAACGAACTGCGTTACACTCACGTGTGTCACTTGTGAGGAGGCTAATCGATACTGACGCTCGATGGGCCACGATGGCGGCTTGCCGCACGGAGAGGAGACGTGGACAGAGCGCCACGTGCGCCTGGATGGCGCAACAGTTACATAACGGTCGGTAATCGGGATTTCTACCTAACAAAATTCAAATTGAAATAACTCTATACAAAAATTAATTACTACACTGATTGAAATGGATGTCAGAGTTGGTTATTAACTCAAGAAAAATTCCTATTTAACTATAATCTCCTCTCCGGAGTCGTATTCTCGGGATCACGGGGCTAGGGAAATAAAGTACAAAAGAAACGAACAAAACTTAATTACAAAATATAAAAACAATTAGAAAAATCGAACTAGAACGACCTTGGCGATTCACGCGAGAACAACGGTCGGAATTGATCGCGTGACCTTCCACCTAACCCAAAACTAACCCTTCCCAAACCCCTAAAATCCACTAATTGAGCGGTAGTATTACAACTACTCCTACACAATCTCCGAAGATTCGAAACGCAGGGAAAAAATCCTCAAAAATGATCGCGCAGCTCGGTAATATCTCGGCCTAAGCCACGAAAATTCTATCGGCCCTATATAGTTAATTCTTCCCCCATCCCGTTAACAAAACGGAAGGCGCGAAACGCAATGTGAAGACAAAACGAGTCCAAAAATACAAAAGGGCGTCAGAACGCAAAACCAGATTCCCAATAACAAAAAAAAAAGATAAAAAAAAGGCATTAGAACGCAAAACCGAAGTTCTAATGAATCCGAAGTGACTCGAAATCTCTAATTATTAACAAACGATTTGACTCGAAACTATTGGCTCGACTGGGTCATTTTCTCTGCGTACTTACAATTTTTCCGGTACTCTTTCCGATGATCCCGCGGCGAGCGAAGGGATTTCCCCAGAATCCCTTACAAACTATAGTTATCATCAAAATTCTGTTTTGAATGCAAAACAATAATTATCAAAGTTCTCATAATCAAGAATTTTTTAGTGTTTGCTGCCCCTTTTATCCTCTTTTACACCTTTACAAAAGCATTTAATTATTTTTTTGGAAAAATTATACGACTGCTTCTGACGCTGTTTCACTAATACAGAGAGTATCTTCTCATTCATGATCTTTTTCACACTTTTATTCGACGATGCCATGAACTTGAAACTTTGATGAATCATCTGAAATGTTTTCAAATTCTCCATAAAATCTCAACATTCCTGTGATTTTTTTTTTTTAAAAACTTGGAAATTTTTGTGAAATTATTGAGAAAATTCGAAGAATTTCGCGCCAAATTTTACGTCTTTAGTATATTGTGAAATTTTCACCAGGTATAAGTGAGTAAGTACCTTAAGAACGTTAGGGTTTCCTATAGGAAATCCTGTGGAGAATTTGAACATTTCCTGTAGGATTTTCTAGATTGGATTTCCTATAGGAATCCTATAGAAAATCCAATCCTATAGCTGAATCCTTTCTATAGGATTCCTATAGGATTCCTATAGGAATCCTATAGAAATCTATAGGAATTCTATAGGGAATCTATAGTAAATTCTATAGGAATCCTATAGAAATCTATAGGAATACTATAGGAAATCCTATGGAGAATTCTAACATTTCCTATAGGATTCCTTCTCCCATTGTATTTCTTATAGGATGTCCTATAGAATTTTCCATACGATTTCATGATATGAAATTATTCATATGAGATTTTCATCGGGATTTCTTATAGAATTTAGGGACATAAGGGTCACAGTGAACGTCAAACGTGTCATATTGGAATCGCGTCGTGGTCATATATGGGTCATATTAGAGTCATTTAAGGGTAATATGGGGCGTAATATGAGAGGTCATATCGGAATCATATCGGAGTCATATGGGGTCATCGGGGTTAGATGGGAGTTATATAGGGATTATGTGGGGATCATATTAGACGTGCATATAGGAAACCCTGCAAGATATCCTATGGGAAATCCTATAAGATATCCTGTGGGAAATCCTATAAGATATCCTGTGGGAAATCCTACAGGATATCCTGTGGGAAATCCTACAGGATATCCTGTGGGAAATCGTACAGGATATCCTGTGGGAAATCCTATAGGATATCCTGTGGGAAATCCTATAGGATATCCTATGGGAAATCCTATAGGATATCCTATGGGAAATCCTATAGGATATCCTATGGGAAATCCTATAGGATATCCTACGGGAAATCTATTGGATTTTTTCATGCGTGAATTCAAGACGATCAAAGAGTTTCTAGAAAATGCAAGAGAATTCAGGCAGTTTAGAAAAATTTCGAGAGAATTCAAAGAATTTCTAGAAATTTCGCGGAAATTCAGGGAGTCTATAAAATTTGAAGGAATGCAAAAAGCTTCTAGAAATTGCGAGTGAATTCAGGAAGCTTCTAGAAAATTCATCGAAAGTCAAGAAAATGCAAGGAGCTTCTAGAAATTTCGTGAGGATTCAAGGACTTTCCAGAACTTGCGAAGGAATTGAGGGAGTTTCTAGAAAATTCGAAAGAATGCACGGAATTTCTGGAAAATTTGACAGAATTGGGGGAGTTTTAAATAATTCAGGGAAATCCATGAAGTTTCAAAAAAATTTGGGTTAATTCAAGGAGGTTCTAAAAATTTGAAACAAATTCGAGAAGTAAAACCCAATTTCTTCAATTCATGATTCTGTTATAGGAATACTTGAGAATGAGTCATAATATAAATTTTATGGAAATTGTGAAGCTCATGATTTTTATTTTTAATTCATAACCTGTGTAAACCACCAATGAATGAATTAACAAATCCTTTTCAATTGAAAATTATGATGCAGAAAAAAAAACAGTTGACCGGGCAACACCGGGCACACTAGCTAGTAATAGATATAATTGACTTTTGATTGAACCGCGGGACGTCGAATACCGCAATACTATTGGTCGGAAGGGAAATGGTGGAAATAATCAGTGTGAAACGTGTCACTTGACCTGGAAAACTACATTCTCATTAGTCGAAGTCAAAAAGGGGAAAATTATCCACAAAGAATGTTTCTTGATAATGGCATAATTAACAAAATGAAAAAAATCAATGTCGTACATATTCTTTTTTACTGCTCCATTGTATTCAGTTTAATAATGAAAAAAACTTTGATTTCTAAACAGATAAAGGATGGCATTGAATGGTCCCAGAAAGCCCTTCAACGTGAGACCTCGAATCCCCAGGGTTTGCAGTCACGCTGTCACTTATACATCGGTATTGGGCACAGCATAATATCTGGAATTACAACGATTAAACAAGATAAAGTGCACCACACCACATTAGCACTGGAATGCTTCCACAAGTAAATGTCCTTTTTTCATCCAGGAGGAACAGTCCATCTCCATGACAAGCTTGAGCAAGAAATTAAAGTACGAATTTAATGGCATGAAGAAACAATAAGAAAGATGATGAATTTTCGGTGGTCCCATCAACGTACTATATCTGTTGTTAAATCATAGTCAAATAAAAATATTCGTAACATTTTTTTAACGTAAAACTACTATAAAATTCACAACAACAAATTTTTGACTCTACAACTCATTAATCCATTGAATGTGGAAAACATTGTCTGGGGAATGCACTGGTCAGCTTACTGACAGCAATCTTACGAACTATTTTTAATAATGTAATTGCTTACTGTTACAGAGCTCAACAGTATGATCCAAATGATCACTTAACGGAGTACTATCTGGCCCACGAGTACGCAATCAATAGGCAAATAAACGAAGCAATGGTGCACGTTAAAATTTCTCTTAATTTACGAGCTGAACATATACCATCACTGCATCTATTAGCATTATTGCTCTCAGCCCATAAACAATACGCGGATGCTCTGCATCTTATCAACAGTGTCCTTGAGGAATATCCAGATAATCTGAATTTTCTTTACGTAAAAGCGCACCTTGAATTGCACAGTGTGGGTGGTGAGGAGGCGCTTTTCACTATTAAACACATGCTGCATCTATGGAGAACACTGTACGAGGATCAAACAAATATCGATTGCAATGAGCAGCAAAGTGAGAGGAGGAGCGAGACCAGGAGTGTATTTCAATTGTACACATCGGAATTGAGTGACAAGGATTCAAGTAATTCATTTTTATTGAATTAAGGGGTTTTTTCGGTAGAGGTGTGCCGAAAACTTTCGCGATTGTTCGGAGAATATGGGGGGCGAGGGAACGAAGAAGAGATGAGTGAACACTTGACTTTCTTAAAAGATCGATAACTCATAGAATGTTTAACGAAATAAGATCGTTTTTTCTTCTTGAAAAGTTGACTTCTAATATCCCCCGAGTCCAGACTGAGCTCCATTGTAATGACTGAGGGAATTTTATGCAAAACAAAAAAAGTTTTCCCCTCTTTTTAGGCTCATTAATCACCAAGATCATTCAAGATTCAATCAATACCAAAGTTATCGACTTATCTTGCGTTTTAGAAAAAAAGGATAAATTTTCAACATTTTTGTATCCTCTCGCGCTGTAAGGTCGAGGTTATTGCACTCTAAATTTAAAGATCTTTTCTGACGTCTCTAAAATCAATCTTGATTTTATTGTGATATGCCTTTTAACATTGTTCTAGATCTTTGAACGGAAATATAGGGGAGAATGTTTCTATTGTTTTCCTGTAGACAACCAATCGCAGAACAAAAAAACTTTTCCCATTCGGATTCAAAATTCAGGCAATATTAGGGATTATCTCCAGTTAAAGATTATTTTTGGAGGTAATCAAATTTATTTGTATCTGCTCCACGCATTGAATGGTTTTTAGATTGATTTTTTTTAATAAATGAAAAAATATTAATCCATGCGAAAAAGTGGCAACATCGTCGGTAGTTTTTTTGCTTCCGAATGGAAGCATTGTAATCGTGCTGTTTTCACATTCTCTAATTTTGATTGGAAATGATGTAGAATGGTCTGAAACGTAAAAATACGAAGTTTGGCGACCATGTCTGTCGGTGTCAATGTCCATCGCCACCTTTCCGGTGGTCAATTTTTGGAAAATTGAGTAATTAATTGGCTAAACTTATTCCAAAAAATCTGAAATTTTTCCAGATTATAGACATTAACAAGGACTAACTCTGTGCAAAAGTTCAGCCCGATTGATCAAATAGTTTTTGAGAAAAAGCTATTCGTTTTTAAATCGTTTTTCGCTAATATCTTCGAAGCTAGTCAACCGATTTCAATTTTTTTTTTCAAAATATTCGTTTCGATCCCTTCTATCCGAATCAATCAAAACATATATACCCGTTCATACAAAGTTTTCGAGATATTTCCGTTTTTCTGTTTTTTCATAAAAATCCTCGTAATCACTCTAGCTTGTACAAAAATTGAGATATCAACTTGAAATTTGGACAGAAACTTGATAACAATCCTTCCTATTGAGAATGAGCTCAGTCGCATGAGTAGTTTCCGAGATACTTGACTTTCTCTGAAATCCTTTTATGTGCAATATCTTAAAAACTACGCAACCGATTTCAATTTTTTTTTTCAAAATATTTGCTTCGATGCCTTCTATTAGAATCAATCGAAACATATACGGCCGTTCATACAAAGTTTTCGAGATATTTCCTTTCTTCTGTTTTTTCATAAAAATCCTTATAATCACTCTAGCTTGTGCACAAATTAAGATATCAACTTGAAATTTGGACAGAATCTTCCTCTCATGATAATAATCCTTCCTACTGAAAATAGGCTCAATCGCATGGGTAGTTTCCGAGATATTCGACTTTCTCTGAAAACCTTTTATGTGCAATAGCTTAAAAACTACGCAACCGATTTCAATTTTTCTATTTCTCAAAATATTTGTTTCAATGCCTTCTATCCGAATCAATCAAAACATATATACCCGTTCATACAAAGTTGTCGAGATATTTCCGTTTTTTCATCAGAAGGTAGTTATTTCCACTGACATTGTTGATATCTAATCTGAGCGGGTTTGGTGTTTCCATTTTTTTCTTTCTTTAATAGAATTACTACAGCTCCATTCGGAAGCTTACTACCAATGGAATTGCTAGAAATGAAAGAAAGAAAAAGAGTTATAACACGTAAAAGTACCAAAAAGGCTCGAACCCCTGCTTGTTTATTCAGTGAAATGCTTTTCTGCTTTTGTAGTTTAGCAATAGAGCTTTCCTTTGAGCCCCGTTTGACCCTATGTTTTCGGACATTTTACAATGATTTTATTATTTAAACTTTGCAGCTCTGAATTTGAATCTCGATATTAAGCCATTGGAAAACATCTCAAAAATCTGAAAAAAAATTAGAAAGTTTATTTTTGGAGCAAAATTGATGAAATAATCAAAAAATTGCAATCTTTCAATCAATAATTTATAAACACTTAATTTTCCATTGTAATAATCATTTGTTCGCAATCGTAATAAATTTATTCATACTCAGAATTTTCCCAGAAATCGATTTCATGCCTAAAAAAATAATGTTTCCGAAAGTTTAAACAATTTCAATGATTTATTTGTAAACAACGAATGTTGAAAAAAAAAAAATCTTTACAAAATCTTATTTGCATGATGCTAAATATTCACAATTTTTTTCAAATTTTTCTCATACAATTTGATTGACGAATTGGATGATTGCAAATGGTTGAATCTAGAGTGTGATCTATACCAAACTGTAAATGATACTTGGATTACACGGAGAAAAAAATACATCGTAATTTTGTGAGAATCCTTCCAAAAATTAGTGTGCTGTTCACCAACGCTGGGACATAACAGGGAGTCATCGGAGAAATCGCATGTGGCACACTAATTTTTACGGGAATCCCCCGAAAAAGTGGCCGGAGTCCCACCAAAAATTAGGGTGCCACTTATGAATTTTTCGACGACCCCACGTTATGTCCCGGCGTTGGGGGACAGCACACTAATTTTTGGGAGATTTTTTTCTCAGTGTATCCTTAAAACAAATAAGTTTTTGGTGATGAATTTTGGGGATTTTTCCTCTGAAATTAAGCAGTGACAATTTTTTTATCAGTACAATTACTTCTAAAACCATAAGTTTCTTAAAATCATTAACTTGGTTTTAGAAACTAGAAACTTTTTTTCTCTGTGATCATGACGAAAACCGATTTTGTATCACTATTTTTTGAGATACTCTAAAAACGGTTTCTGTCAACTGAAAAGTTTTTCATCTTGTGACGTTTTGAGTTAGATCACCCACCGCATTAATCCTGGGTGATCTAACATGTGACTGGTCACAAATAGAAATAAGCTTTCTTTTCCTAGGGCCGTCGTACCCTATGTTGACCGGCTAACTGTCGCGTGGAATTCACGCAAGTTGGGAATGATAAGGGAATTGGAAGGCATTGTAGCTAAGATAAATACACGATTAACTGGTAAAAGTATGGTATATTTAACTCAACTACTAACTACGATACACGACATTGTTATTGATGGGTTCGGTAAACGCGTTATTGATATTTGAAGGAGCTGGGATGACCGTCCAGCTTCACTCCCGATCGTACTCTGCCCTATTCCAGAGTCTTTGTAAAATGCTCAAAACCTAAAATTGCAGAGCAAGCAGTCTCACGGTCCCGAAACACTAAGACAATTAAGTGCCATCATTGACACACAACTGGAACAGTCAAACAGCTTCTTTACCGAGAAGCTGGACTCAGATGGCACCGTGAGAGTGCTGAGCTCTGCTCCAGCACGATGAGAAAGAAATCATATTTCTTTTCTCATCGTCCCACATTATAAATTTAAAGTAACGTATTATTCATAATACGTCACATTGTATTCAACAAATAACCGACGTATTAATGACAATACGTCACAATCTCATACCTGCGCACCCATTCAATCGAATAAGTATTTTTTAAATCAATTCAGAATATTAACTGCTCTGTATTTTCAATGTCAATTACTCAAAGAAAAAATAACTTTTCAACGCATGTACTAAAAAAGAAAAAAAATGGCTGCTTTTTTTCCAACCCTCCCAGTTCGCCCGATTATCCTTAAGGTACATGGGAACATTCGACAATGTCCAAAAAATGTGAAATTTTGAAGAAAAATGCTTGAAATAGCCAGAAATATGTCGCAAGGAGTCCGAATACAATTGACTGCTTAGCTTGTTGTAAAAAAAAATGATTAAAAATATCATTTGTACAACGTCTTATGAGTCACTTTTCAATTGTTCAGTATGAGTATCGATAATGTACAAGCAATGCAAATACCCAATTTCCACCGTCGAACACATTCCAAGAATACATCTCTGCAATTTCATAATTTATTACTCCACAGATTTTAAGAAATCATTGAAAATGTATCACAGGATCATGAATTTTCATTAAACTAGGGAAAAATGGCGGTGTAACATGACAACGGTGAGAGAAGGTTAGAATGTACAGGGTTAGCTCTTCTGTAGGTCCTATAGTAAATGGAAGCAAATTTACTATAATGTAGTATAGGTTCAAAGGACATTAACACCCTATCAAAGGACAGTAACACCAACTTCGTCTAATGAAAATTTCTTGTTGCCGGATCTCTGACGATAGTTTCAATTTATTAATAAAATCATTTTTTTTAAATTGAGGATAAAAAAATCGTCGGTTGAATAATTATAAGTCATAAATAAAAAGGATACCGATCAGCAAAATTTCCATTCACTCTTGAATCTTTCAAATTTTCATATATTTTTTTTGAACGATGCAGCGGAGTGTCGGCACCTTTGATTTTCACCCTCACTCTATACCCCAAAGTTATAATGAGGAAGTACCTCAATTTCCTCGAAATTTCTAGAAACTCCTTGAATTTTTTTCGAAATTTCAAGAAACTTCTCAAATTACTTACAAATATCTAGAATTTTCTAGAATTCCGATAGATGGCGCCGCACATAAGGACCTATGGAGATTTGAGTGTCTCACATAGATCAATTAGATTCTAGGTAATTTATAATAAACTATATTTACTCAGTCAACATTAATAATAATGATTTTAGTACAAAAGAATGCGAAAATGCCACAGCCGTGGTGGTTAACGTAAGTTGAGAGATAAGTATGAATACTGTAGAGTTGACTCATCACTCTGGTCTCGGGACGAGTATTTGCTTGCGCCGCTGGCGCTGGTGGCAGGCTCGGGCGG